ATAGCACTCTTCTATCAATTTGCTGTACTGAGGTAATCTGTGTTTGCTGTGATGCTGAACCTTGTGCCATTGGGGGGGAGGTCAAATGCCATAATGGCTGCTTTTGGTGGATAGTGTTTGGTGGAGCTCCCAGTTTAAGAAATGTTTAGAAGGAGGAGTGGCATCCATTTCCTAAACCATATGCCTCTGGAAACTCTATGAACTTGGAGAAATGACCATAGTTATAGAAAGGCTTCAGGGGTTTTGTTCATAGGGTCACTATGAGTCATGCTTGACTTAATGGAAATCAGTAACAACAATTTGGCTGGGATCAGGTGCACCTTAGTCTCCAGACTGACAGTGTTGCTCTTCAGTACTCTGGAGATGTCCCTGACAGCAGATGTTCACAATGCAATTCATCTTTTGATTTCCTGGCCACTGGTACCAACAGTGTTGATTGTGGAACTAAGCAAACGAAAGCTGTTAATAATCTCAATCTCTTCACTGTCTATCTTGATGCTGTCAATCGACTCAGTGGTGAGAATCTTTGTTTTCTTGATGTTGATCTTAAATATACCTTGAAGACTGACCTTCTGCAGCAATTGCTTCAGGTCCTCTTCAGTTTCAGCAAGCAGGGTTGTGCCATATGTATAACACAGATTGTTGATAAGTCTTCCTCCAATCCTGATGCCTCATTCTTCCTCATGGAGCTCAGTTTCCTGGATGATCTGTTCTGCATATGGATTGAAAAGGACACATCCCTGACGTACACCCTTCCCAATTTTAAACCATGAACTGTTCCCTTGCTCTATTCTAATGACTACCTTCTGGTCCAAGTATAGGTATCACATAAATACAATCAAGTGTTCTGGGGTTCCCATTCTTCTCAGAGTTAACCACAGTTTATTTTTATCAAATACTTTTGCATAGTCAATGAAACACAGACATTCCTTTGGTGTTGCCTGCTTTCAGTCAAGATCCATCTAATTTTAGGTATAATATCCCTAGTACCATATCCTTTTATAAACATAGCCTGCACATCTGGCAGTTCTCTGTTGTGCTCTTCCAGTCGTTTTTGGATAATTTTCATCAGAATCTTGTGTGTATGTGATATTAATGACATTGTTCAATGATTTCCTCACTCTGTTGAGTCACCTGTCTTTGGAATGGAAACAAATATAGATCTCTTCTAGTCAGTTGGCCAGGTGGTTGACCTCAAGTTTTCTTGGCATAACTTGGTGGGCGCATTGAGGGCAGCATCTGTTTTTTTTTAATTATGCCAGTTGGTACTTCGTCAATTCCTGGGGACTTGCTTTTTTCCCCCAGTTCTTTTATATTGGCTTGAACTTCTTCCTTCGACACCACAGTCTCTTGCTCATACATTGTTTAATGAAATTCATATGTGTCAGCTAATTCTTTTTGGTACAATGACTCTGTATACTCCCTCCATCTTCTTTTAATGCTTCCTGGATAATTTATTATTCTGTCCAGAGCAGCCTTAAGTATTGCAATTCAAGCCTTGAATTTGTGCTTTACTTCCTTTGGCTTAAGAAATGTTGAGTTAGTTCAACCCTTTTGATTTTCTGACTCCAGCTCTTTGCACATTTCACTATAATAATTTGTCTTCTCTCACTGCCCTTTGAAATCTTCTGTTCAGCTCCTTAATTTCCTAATTTCTTCCCTTTGTTGCTTTGGCTTCTCAGCGCTCTAGTGCAATATTCAAAGTTTCATCTGACCTCTGTGTTAGTAATGATCTTTTGCATTCTTCATGATATTCTGGATAGCCTCCCACAGCTTATCTATCTTCACTCATTAGTGTTTAAGATCTCAAATATGTCCCTGAGATGGTTTCAAAATTCAAATAGGATAATCTGAAGGTCAAATTTTTGTTCTTGTGGATTTAATTTAATCTTATTTAGCTTCAGCTTGAACTTGCATATGAGTAGTTGGTGGTCTGTTCCATAATCATCATTGGCCTAGTTTTTATGGCTGTTACAGAGCTTCTCCAGTGATTCTTCCCACAGATGTAGTCAATCTGACCTCTATGCATACTATCAGGTGAAATCCATGGGTATAGTCTGTGTTTATGTTTCCTATAATAAGTATTTGTGATGAATAGGTCATTGATTCCACAGAATTCTATCATTCTGTCTCCAGCATAATTTCTTTCACCAATTCCGTGTTTTCTGACTACTGATCATTCTTCCCTGTTTCCAACTTTTTCATTCCCAGCCATAACAACATGTAATAATGCTTATTCTTTTATATGTTTGCTTTGTTGATTTTTTTAAAAAAAAGTTTTACATTTTTCATAAAAAGGCCATATTTTATAATATTTAAAAAAGTATTAAAAAAACTTTGAGGAATTTTATCATAAAATATGATACAGTAGTTTGTTTTGAAGGGAATATAAATTTTAACAAATCTGAAAAAGAACTCCTGATCATTCTCTTCCTGATGCTGTTTCCTCTTCAGTTGAAGGAAACCCCAGTTTTCCGATTGATTATTCTAAAAATCTTGAATTTTATTTGGCACCTCTCTTTTTTTTAATGTTTTCAAAATATTGCCTGAATTTCCCTAACATCCCATCTTCTGCTCTTCAACCAAGCCACCCTCCTCTCTTGCTAGGAGTATGGCAGTATCCTCCTCAGTCTGTTTCCGCCCTTGCCTCCTTGTGGAAGGTTTTTGACACAGTAGCCAAAACTGTTAAAATAGCAGTCTGATGTATCTCTCCTCTTCTAAGATCTCCCTAACTTCTCCTACTCAGAGCAAAAGCTTTCATGGTGGCTCAGGTATCATCTCTCTGCCCACTGGTTTCCCACACTGCTGCTTTCTTTTGATCTTCCTTCACTTTAGCTCGTTTGCATTTGCTTTTCCTTTTCCTCTGCTGGGAATGTTCTTTTCCCAAATGTCTTCATGGCCAGCCATCTCCCTTCCAATCTTTTCTATTTTCTGGGAGAGGCCTTTTTGAGCTCTCCACCAATGCATAGACATTCATGCACCCACTGCTTCTCTTTCTCCATTCTCTGCTTTAGTTTTCTCTGTTTAGTCCTTTTCATCACCTAACACACTATATGTTCTACTATTGTTTGTTACTTTTCCCCTGCCATTCTATGAAGGTAAATTCTTTTGATTTTCGTTTTCAAACTGAATACTTAACACTTAGAACCGTAGCTAACCCATAGCAGTTTTAATATCTCTTTTGAGTATTTGTTAGATGAGGATTTAGATGAACTTTTGGGGGGCCTTTACTTTTCACTTACCCCCCTGTATTTTGACACCTAGACTTAAGCTATTGCTATATGATGGTTACTTTTGGATTGCTTTTCTCTCTTCATCTACGTCACTAATCCCAAATGAATTCTTAAAATACAATATTTTCCTAATAGTAGATTCTGTGTTCATTGTACTCTTTCATTATTTTAATTAAATTACTTTCATTTTTTTACTTAATACATTAAGCTCCTACATTATTAAAGGGATTTTTGGAACATGGAACTCAAATCATGAAAACAAATGCTGACTATAAGAGAGTTAGTCTACCTAATGGACAGATAATTAAATAATAAGCTAAAGCACAAAAGTACAATAAAGACAGAACCCAGTTTTAGAGGGACTGCTGACCAATAAGTGCAAAACAAATTCGTGTTCAAATGTCAGCTAAAAATGTAGAATCTTATAGACAGGAGATGAGAAAGATAAATCTTGATAAACACATTACTTCTTTTATCACTACTCTAAATGATAAGATGACGTTTCTTAATGGAGGAAGCAGTAGGAAAAGTAACTAATGTATTTGGTTTCCTTAGAAGAGAAAGCCAGGATTAATAGCGAGATCAATGACCTTAGTGTTAGACGATCTAGATTTGAATCTACCACCACAATGTTATCTACACATACTGAAAGCTGATGTTTTAACCTCTGTGGGTCTCTGTAACCTTGGTTAATGGTAGAATAGTGTCCTAGACTATCTACATACATACATGATTTTCTTCGGTTATTGAAAGAGATTTTTTCTTATTTAAGGGGTCTTGATGGCTTTGTGCATATTTTTAATTTAGTTGAGTAAAGAACCAAAATTTCAAAACCAATTCATTGCATTAAATCCATTCTGACTCATTGCAGTCCTTATGCTCTTACTCACAAGTTTAAGAGTAAAACCACATCATAGAATTCTGAAGCTGTAAATCTTCATAGGAGCAGACTGTCACATATTTCTCTCCTGAAGTAACTGATGTGTTTGACCCTGTAAGCATTGGCTAGCAGCTGAGTCCTGGTGGCTTGCTGATTAAGTACTCAGCTGCTAACCTAAAGGTTGGAGGTTCAAATGATAAAAGGGGAGATCTGGTGGCCTTATGGTAAGAAGCTGTGCTGCAATCCTGACGGTTCAAATCCACCAGCTGCTCTGTAGAAGAAGGATGGGTAATCTTCTGTGAGATTAACAGCCTCTGCAAACCCATGGGAAGGTCCGCTTTAGGGTAGTTCTGACTCAATGGCTCATAACAACAACAATGCTTTGCTAGCCTGAAAATTGTAGTAATAGTAGGTTTTTTAAAGATACCTCTTATTTGTTTACTGACTACTTCATATTTTATCCAACTACTACATAACCATTTACACATGTAAAAATGAAATGAAGAAATATTTCCTGAATATATTCTTTTCCTTTTTAAGACATTGTCCTTATGAAAGGTGTAAAATCTTTCCATATTTTCACTTTTCATTTGAGATGACTATTATAAATGAAAAATGACTGTTTTCCATTTAACCTAAATCAACACACAGGACTAGAAATTAAGATTATTTTTTAACAATATGTATTGACTTTCTAAATGGAAGTGTGCCCCTGGCTTGATAAACCTATGGCAGTAACTGCAACATTTAATGTTGTTTTTAGAACTATTTCCATTCTTAGTAATTTATAAAAGATCTGAAGTATTTCTTTTTTTGAAAGAAACTGGTTTCTATCATTGGGATTTACTAATTACATATTTTCCTCCTACTGTCTTTCTGTTTTTCAGCCTTTGCAACTGGACTGTGACCTTTGTGCCATAGTGTCAAACTCAGGTCAGATGGTTGGACAGAAAGTGGGCAATGAGATTGACCGCTCCTCCTGCATCTGGAGAATGAATAACGCTCCCACCAGAGGCTATGAAGAAGATGTTGGGAGAATGACAATGATCCGAGTTGTGTCCCATACCAGTGTTCCCCTGTTGCTAAAGAACCCGGATTATTTTTTCAAGGAAGCAAATACTACAATTTATGTTATCTGGGGTCCTTTCCGTAACATGAGGAAAGACGGCAATGGCATCGTTTACAACATGTTGAGAAAGACAGTTGATGTCTACCCCAATGCCCAGATCTACATTACCACAGAGAAGCGCATGAGCTACTGTGACGGAGTGTTTAAGAAGGAAACTGGGAAGGACAGGTGAGTCCTCTCTGAGACACCATTCTCCTCTTGTACACTCAATCTTTGCTGAGCCCCTTTACCAGCTATCAAATGAACAGAGTAACATTTCAAATTAGTTGCTGTATGTTTTTTACTATTATGATTCTTTAATGAGCCAGCAGCTAGGCCTCGTTTATTCCACCTACACCACCGTCTGTTCTCTTTCCCTCTTGATTGACTCAGAAGCTTCAAAAACACTGGATGCTTCCTCAAGATAGCTTTAGATCTTTTCTTATTTAGCAGAATTGACTATTGATTAAATTGGTTTGTAACAAAGCGAAGAAGCTTACCCATTACTGTTTCAAAACATAGAATGTTAAGGGACCTTGGAATTAGGTATTAATCTAAATGTCTTTAGAATTTTTTTGTTAAACTTTACCTGGAGGTATAAACAGAACATCGTATTGATTTCCTGATAAAGTTGCATGTTTCTTGCTTGCAAATAGGCTCTGTGATCTTGACCACTTTAATTTAATATCTAAAATGTCAAGCAGAACCATAGTGAAATTATACCTTACTTAAAACCATTAATGGTTAGATTCCTGAGGAGAAAACAGGCATAAATAGCATTCGCCCAATTATCCAAACCCCAATATGCAGTTTTCCATTACATCTATTTCTTCCACAGCATTTTGTGAACTCCCTCTCTTGCTTCATTTTCTTCAGAACTGCTTTATCTGTTTTCTCTCTCCCACTAATACCCCCGTTTCTCTTTTCACCTCCTTCATCTCCCATTTAACTCATTTACTGCCATTTCTTCCTTCCTCTTTAGTAAAGCGAGCAGGAGAAAGAGAGGAGTGAAGTACTGAATCAGTCAATGTTGATTCATATATTTAGCTCTGATAAAGAACTGCTGAAGGGAGGTATTGAAACTAATGACTAAAATTTAAAATTATCTGTAAATTTTGCTTATCTGTGCAATGCCATGGGTAAAGTAAGCACTGGTCAGAATTTCAATATTAGCGTTCTGATTGCCTTAGAATCATTAACTAATACCGATCTTTAATTCTATTGGTGTGTATGTTTTCTTGTGTGTAGGAAAGCAACGTTTCTGTTATTTCTAGGTATAAATTGAATGCTAATGGTTATTTAAAAATCTTATGTGGACACATTCTTATGATTATCTTATGTTGATTTGAATTTAAGAGCTTTCTACATCTGAGCACCAATAATGCAAGCTTTATATGAAATGCAAGATAAAAATAGTCATCTCTACTTTTCTGTTAGTGTTAGCAAGAATAATGCTAACAGTTAGATTTGAGTCAATATAGCTTAACTTCCAAAGGCTGTGGAAAAGAAAGGAGTAGATAGGATGCTTTAAAGGAACATTCTAGTAATCTATATAACTGTGATCATTCTCAAGGGGTTTAGGAAATTTCTGGTTTCTCAGTAGCTTAAAGCAATGAAATTCATTAGCTAAATTCAATTCTTCATCTGCCATAGTTAGCCCTGAGGACACCCCTAGGTTATAACCATAAGCCCTCACATCTTCTGGTGGTATCAGAGCAAAGTGTAGAATGCTGTGTGTTCCTGTGTACTTGGCTTTTGCTCTGAGTTTACAATGAGGAAACACTGTTGTAAATATATGATTTCTAATATATAAGAACTGAGGAAGATGCATTTTCCTCTTGGCTGTGATGAGGAAAACTGATGATGAGGGTCAAAAAATTTGCTTGGTACAATTAGCTACAAGTAGGGGTAGGATTATGACTCAATGAGTGTGCTTCGTAGTTGATTTTGACTCACATGTTCTAGTGATAGAACATCAGATTTTTATGCTAGCTGACTTCCAGATTTGTGTGTCCTGAGGAGAAACTAGTGGGTTTGAACCACCTTCCTTTCAAACAGCAACTGATTTCTTAACCATTGAATACTTAATAATGTAAAATCGGGAAGAAAATATTTTTTAAGTTTTATTTTAGTATGCTGCTTCTTTCTTGCTATCTGAACATCTCCCTTTCTGACCGTGATATAATCTGCCACATGACTAAGTGCAGCTACCAGCCAGGAGAAGGTGACTGTGTCAGTATTTTAGAAATGGCTAAAATGAATGGTGGAAGTAGAGTCTGGTTGGATGACAAAAGACTGGTTAAAATGACTTCAAATTTGTCTTCATTTCAGTTATGCAGACTTTATTGTCTGTTTTTTTAAGTGATGTGTGACCTTCATTTTCAAATTTCAAACAACAAATCTTTTTCATTTTTTTTTTATGACAAAAAGTCTCAAACTTACCAAGCAGAGAGAATACTGATGTGATGAATGTCTATCTATCTGTTACCCACCTCAAGTACTAATTAACTCCTATCTAGCTGTTACCTGCCTTGAGTACTAATTAACTCATGGCCAATCTTGTTTCAATGTACTTTCTGCTTTCTCTTTCCCTTCTGGATGTTCTTGAAGCAAATCTCAGACATCAGTTCATGTAATCTGTGACTATATTGGCTTCTACCTCTAAAAGATTCTTAAAGGTAAACATAATTCCACTGTCCTACATTTAAAAATAAACAATAATTGCTTGATATATTGAAGCATTTTCAATTTCACCAATTTTCCCATAAATATATTTTATCAGTATGCTTAAATCCAAATTAGCATAACATCTGTGCTCGAGCAAGTGCTCAAGCCAGGGTTAGTGTAACATTTGTACACCATCATAGGTCTCCTGTATTTTCTTAGGTTATAGGTTTTTCTCTTTTACTCTGTCTGTTGTTACTAACACTTCCTCACTTATTCTGAAGAGTTTTTCATATTCCGGATTTTGCTGTGGCATGTTGTTCCCAGAATATTCCTTTAACATTCTTCTTTCCGTTTAGAGGCTTGATTGGATTCAGACACAAATTTTTTCAAGACTATTTAGATGGTGGAGAGATTTGGTGGCTTAAGAGTTGAGCTGCCAACACAAAGGCAGGCAGTTCTAATCCTCCAACTACTCTTCTCCAGTGGAGAAAGATGAACAGTCTCCTCCCATGTGATTTTAAACATCCTGAACGATGAGCTATGAGTCGGTTCCAACTTGACAGTAATAACAACACAGTAGCATTTAGGTGGTGATTCTCTCAGGAATCTTGGTGGTGTAGTGTGGTATGTGTTTGACAGCTGACTGAGAGGTCATTATTCAAAGTTACCAGTTGCTCTTGGAAAGAAATTAAAGGTAGTCTGTACCTATAAAAGTTGACAGCCAGAGGAAACCTCAGGGAGAATTACCATGTGTTGCAAATGATGGCACTGGTTGACTTTATTTAATTTACTTATTTGGTATATTTTCAGTTGGCAGGGCAGTTCCTTACCAGTAAGGCACCGGAGCCCCCTCTGTTGGGTTTAGAAAGCCGTATGTCTTACAGCAAGGAGAGTGTCTGGCCTTTCTCCCACTGAGCAGCTGCTGGATTTGCCCAATGACATTTTGATTTGCAACCCAAATGCACTATGCCACCAGGGCTCCTTCATAAAACATGAAGGTTTGCCAAAGGATGTTAATATCTTATCATTCCTTTCTGTTTATCAGCTGAAATACTTTATAAAGTGATATTTACCCTTGTGAATAATTTGTTTACCATGAGCGATAATACAGTGCTGATCTTTTCTCTTTATTGACCAGTATTCATGAATTGACACCCTAGTTTTTCTAAAGGCCACTAACTTATTGTTATTAATGCTCTCCTAACTTATAAATTTTGAAATACATTGGAAATGCTATATGACATTTTTATCCTTATCCATGTCCAAATTGTCTTATTTTGGCCTAGGTAATGCCTTCAAATTGGCTTTTGAGGTTTTTTTGACATGTCCTCAGTCACTGGTAGCATCTTTGTTTCCTGATATTACTAGAAATTTCAGCTTTATGTATTCTGGGGAAATATCAGGCTCTTATGTTCCTCCTGACCCAGGCCTGGATTCAAATACTTTTCTGATGAACCTTGGAGTCTTATAGCAGAAAATGGTATTTAAGAGATCATAATCTTGGCACTCTGAGCACCTACTGTTCTAAGTGGATCTATGTTTTTTCACCATGCCATTTCAGTGGCTAGAGATAAACAATATATACTGTAAAACTCTTTAAAGATAAAATCATTATGTATTCAGACTGATACTTCTGGTTTAAAGTTAAGATTACTGGATTATATTTTAACTTTTTAAAGTGTCCCTTACTTATGATACCGACTACATAAATAATTTCTTTTACAATGATTCATATACGTTCTGAAAAGGCACAGGGTAACAATGTTTCAAATATCCAAACTGCTGTACTATTTAACATCTCTGACATAAATTATTCCTCCTCCATTGAGTCCTACCATTCCTATCTAAGTCCCTGGGTTCTGATACTGGCTAGAAGGTCTCAGAACAATTAAAAAACTGTCAGGGAAATGGCTCGTGCAATTGTGGACAGTGCACAGTGACAGTCATATGGATTAAGAAAACATCACTCCTCACTACTGGACCAATAAGCAATATCATGGCCATTGCTGTTGTTATGTGCTGTCAAGTCGCCTGCGACTCATAGTGATCCTATGAGCAGCAGCCCTAAACCCTGCTCTATCCTGTGCCAATCTTATTGTCTCTGACACCCCTACCCTCATTACCCTAGTCACTGAATCAATCCATCTCATCAAGGGTCTTCCTCTCTTGTGCTGTCCCTCCACCCTCCCAAGCATGACATCTCTCTGTAAGGACTGGTCCCTCCTTGTAACATGTCCAAAGTATGTCAGATGAAACTTCAGAATCCTTGCCTCTAAGGAGCAGCCTGGTTTAACCCTCTCCAGGACGAACCTGTTTGTTCTCTTCTCAAGCACCATAGCTCAAAGGCCTCAATTCTCCTTTTATCATCCTTAGTCATTGTCCAATTATCTGATGCATAGCAAACAATTGCAAAGACAGTGGCCTGGATCAGGTGCACTTTAGTCTCCAGACTGACATCATTGCTCTTCAGTACTTTGGAGAGGTCTCTGACAGCAAACTTTCCCAATGCAATCCATCTTTTA